TTAGTTAAAGCATGCATTCTTATTCATTATTTGTTAAACATTTTTATGATGGTGTGGTATTAATTCTTGTGTATGTGGATGACTTATTAATCACTAGTATTTCTGAAAATGGAATTAAATAGACTAAAGAGTTTCTACACAGCAAGTTTAAAATCAAAGACCTTGGTTTATTAAAATACTTTCTGGGAATCGAAGTGGTAAGATCCTAAAAGGGTATTGTCATGAATCAAAGGAACTATGTGTTGGATTTGCTATTTGAAATAGGGATAAGTGGTTATAAACCAATGTCGGTACCTATGGCATAGAATTTAAAGCTTATAGCATATGAGGAAGGTAAAAACTAGAAAGAGGAACTGTTAAAGGACCCAGGTAAGTATAGAAAATGCATTGTAAGCTAATATATTTCATAATGATACGTCCTGATATTTCCTCTTTAGTGCAACAGCTCAACCAATTTATGCAAGCTCTAATAAAGACATACATGGTAGTGGTTAAGAATGTGCTGAGATATCTAAAGCAAAACCTATGCTTGGGAATACTTTTAAGTTTAAAAAGTAGCTCAAAACTGAGATGGTTCTGTGACTCAGATTAGGTAGCATGTAACACCACTAGGAGGTCAATCTCTGGTTATTTATTGAAGCTAAGAGACTCCTTAATCTCTTGGAAAACAAAAAAGCAGGGTATTATATCTAAATCATCAATTGAGGTTGAGTACAAAGCTCTCATTTCTGCTGTGTCTAAGATAGATTAGGTATTAGGACTAATAAAGGACTTAAGACTACATGATCTGATGCTTGTGCAAGTTCATTATGATAATAAGGCAGCCATTCACATAGCTAATACCTTGTTTTTATGAACGAACCAAACACACAGAGAAATTATAGAAAAAAATGATTTCTCTCCATCATGTAATTTCTGTAGACCGAGAAGTAGATATATTGACTAAGGCATTAGGAAAAAAAATCTCAAGAGAGGTTCCTTAGCAAGTTTAGAACTATTGATTTACATAGTTCTAACTTGAGGGGGAGTATTGAGAGTAAATGATGTATTTTAAGTTGTTATTTGTGTAATTATGTCGTTTTTTATTTTGTATTATTGTTTAGCCTTATTTTATCTTGTATAAATAGGCATGTACAAACCTTATTTTGTTAAATGTAAAGTATTATTTAGATTATGAATTTGCATTCACATTGTTGTATAATGTGACAAGTTAGTCCATTACCACTCAACACATACCTTGAGATGATGTTATGGATGGCGAGGTAAAATGTTATGGAATTGTTGTATGCATTTTGTTTCAAAGCTCATTGAGAGCCCAGTGTAATCTCTCCATAAATTAAAAGTTCTAAGGTTGTGATCCTCCCCATAATAATCAAAGTAATGAAACTAAAATCTCTAGGAATTATGGGTTCAATTCTTGACTTTACTCAACATATTATCCCATTAATAAGGAACATGTCGACCACATCCAAGTGCTTCAAGAAGCCAGCTTGATTTAACCATTTCTTTTTTATATAAAATGGGTGGTATGGAACTAAATGTACCTTGGCACTGTAAAATAGTGGATCGTATGTGGAGATTGATACAAAAGGGAAGATTAGCTTGATGCAAGGAGAGAAAGGTAGAGTACAAAATGCTAGTTTTTATTTAGGGTTAAGGCACAATTTTTCTCCTAAACTATTTTCATAAGAGCAATGTTGCCTCTAAACTACTCATTCTAGTAATGTTGCCTTTAAACTAATTAAATAGGAGCGATGTTGCCCTTGCTGTTTAAATATCTATTATTGTAGTTAGTATGACCCACTTTTCATGAGTTAAGGTGCAATTTTACCCCTAAACTATTTTTAGAGGAGTAATGTTTCCTTTGTAGTTTAAAAATCATAAACGTCCATTAACTGTATTAAATGGGACCCATTTTTCATTATCTCTCTCTAGTTAACATTGAAGCAAGTCAGGATTTCAATTAGATTGTGGCATTCTAGTTGCTGGATTGGTTTTTGAGTAACTACTTTATGATGGTCTATGTATAGGCTTTTTTGTTGACAATGCATATGAGTGAGTACATTTATTTATGATAGTCAATTTTATAGGCTGATTTATTCAAGAAGATAAGAAGTGATCCTTTTAGCTCAACAATGTTGTTTATATGCTTTTTGTTAGATCAAGAGCTTCTCTTATAGTATTGTTAGTGTGTATTTATATTTCAACTATTGTTGTATTTGTCATTGAAGAAAATTAGTGCAAAAGTTGAGCTTCTTCTCATTGTATAGTTCATAACTCATTGAAATGTTGGTGGATAATATCATTACACAAATAAATACTTTCATATGAATATTGGATGTTAGAAAGGATGTCAATGGAATGGTACTAGTACAAAAGGTACTTTTCATTATCTCTCTCTAGTTAATGAACATTTATGATTTTTAAGTGACAAGGGAACATTGCTCAGATTTAATTGGTTCAGGGAGGACATTGCTCCTTTGAGAATAGTTTAAAGATAAAATTGTACCTTAACTCATGAAAAGTGAGTCCTACTACCTACAGTTGATGGTCATTTAAACGACACAGGCAACATTGCTTCGAATTAAGTAATTTATTGGCAATATTATTATGATTAATAATTTAGGAGCAGTATTGCCCGTCTAAGAATATTTTAAAGGTAAAATTACACCTTAACTTTTTTATTTATATTCTAACTATGCATGCCCTTCTCAAGTTTCATACTTTTCTAACTGATCTTAATGAATTTTTAATTTATTATTTTTCTTTTCCAGGACAAACAATTGCTGATCTCGATTGGTGTCTTCATCCCCTGCGTGTTCTCTTGATCCTCAAAGCTTCAAGTAGCTGCAAATGTGAACTGATGATGATCGGTGATCACAAATTTTTATTTTTCCTTTACTGTTTACTGCTTTATTTATGTATTTGCTGAAACCGGTGCGAATGGAGACAGACTCAATTGAAAAATCTCGCTTTAGCTAAATCCGAATCTCTAGATTTTTTTTTTCTGCCTCCAAATCATAAATTTTTGCTCAGAATAGTTTAAAAATAAAATTGTACCTTAACTCATGAAAAGTGAGTCCTACTACCTACAGTTGATGGTCATTTAAACGACACAGGCAACATTGCTTCGAATTAAGTAATTTATTGGCAATATTATTATGATTAATAATTTAGGAGCAGTATTGCCCGTCTAAGAATATTTTAAAGGTAAAATTACACCTTAATTTTTTTATTTATATTCTAACTATGCATGCCCTTCTCAAGTTTCATACTTTTCTAACTGATCTTAATGAATTTTTAATTTATTATTTTTCTTTTCCAGGACAAACAATTGCTGATCTCGATTGGTGTCTTCATCCCCTGCGTGTTCTCTTGATCCTCAAAGCTTCAAGTAGCTGCAAATGTGAACTGATGATGATCGGTGATCACAAATTTTTATTTTTCCTTTACTGTTTACTGCTTTATTTATGTATTTGCTGAAACCGGTGCGAATGGAGACAGACTCAATTGAAAAATCTCGCTTTAGCTAAATCCGAATCTCTAGATTTTTTTTTTCTGCCTCCAAATCATAAATTTTTGGATGACAGAGATTTTTTAAGTCGTATTTTATTGTTCTTTTGTTTAAAAAATGTAAAAGGTAAATCAAAAATTAAAAAAAAAAAGCTGGCCAAAATTTAGTCAGTTCAAATTTGATGGTTGATTGATGTTGAAAACTCTTTAATGAAATAAATTCAAATTCAAATACGAAAACTAATGACTAAGTAAAAGCCATGTTGACAAATAATTCTAGGGAAAATTGAGAAGAAGGAGCAAGAGGTCCAAATATTTAGGCAAAAGTCTAAAAAATGGATTTAAATACTGCCAGTGACCATGGGTTCGGAGAAACAATACATCTATATGAAAATACCATAATACCCTTCCCTTTAAGTGAGTTATACTTACAAAACAAAAAAAAAAATTAAAAGATAGAGGATAAAATTTCGAGATAACCTTACACTTTTATTCTAAAATATGCCCACATGACTTAAAATTTTTAGAACATGATATTTCGTTTTCATAAAAGATATCATTGTAAACTGAGTGCATGAAAAAAATAAAAGGTATCAGCAATAATCTTCAAGGAATCTTTCATGGATATTCATTTGACGTGGTTATGAATTGTTTGTTGATCATATAATGATTTCTTTTAATTGTTTTACTAGCTTGCATAACTATTTAACATGTACTCATTGCTTTCATCAAACACTTAAAATGATTTGTAAAAAGAAATCCCATTGCGAGAGATATAAAATTAGTTTGAATATAAATACTATTAGTGTATATCTCTATTGCGTTCACCATCCAATGTGATGGACTCTTTCCTTTTACATAATAGTGAGCTCACAAATATTTTAGGAATGTCTTAAATATATTTATGTAATGTGAGTGTATATTTTAAAATTCAAACTCACGACTTAGATAATTTGATTCACTTCTCCACCTCAAGTGCTATGATGGATGCTTTCGGAATTAGATATTTTAGATGTGTAAATTTTGGAGAAAAATTGATCGAAAACATTGTGATCGTAGGATTAGGTTCCAGATATCCAGCCTCCCTGCAAATGCAACGCACGAGCAAAGGACCAACAGTCAACAGATCATTCTGGTCAATGCCTCAAGGGCCGCGTCCCCAATCATTACAAACGACAAGAATAAATGGACCACTAAAGTGACCTTGTTCGACAAGAATAAATGGACCACTAAAGTGACCTTGTTCTATTTCTTTTTTGACTCCCCCCCCCCCCCCGGGGGATCGAAGACCATCAGGTCACTTCATCACCATTCTTTGCAAAAAGCGACTCAAGGTCCCACTATTAGTGAAAGAAGACACGAAAATGGAAACCCACCATTGTGGATGGAGGAAAAAAAAAAAAAAGACAACCAAGTGATAAAGTGAGAAGTAACAGCGCACCAAAAGGCGAAACGATATCCATCTTCGCATCTCAGTGTCTGTTTGGCTGGGGAGAAAAAAAAATTTTAAAAATTTTCTCTTCCCTCCCTTCCAAAATCTCTCCTTCTAAATTGGAGGATCCATTCCTCTCCTTTCCTCCTCTTCCTCTCTCCTCTCACCTCCCTTCCCCTCCCCTCCCGCACTAACAACCTTCCTTCTTCACAGTCCATTCAGTCGCTGAACATTTGATTCCCTTTTACCAATTTGCCCAAACGCTCCTCCAATGGCTGCACCAGGTCCTTCCACTGCTACATCTTCTACGATGAAGTATCATGTTTTCTTGAGTTTCAGAGGCACCGACACTCGCACCAACTTCACCGATCACTTGTACGCTGCTTTGCTTCGACGAGGAATTTTAACTTTCAGGGATGATGAAGATCTTCCAAGAGGAGAAGTTATTTCGGACAAACTCGTCCAAGCTATTGAGCAATCTATGTTTGCGATTGTTGTGCTCTCTGAGAATTATGCTTCTTCCTCTTGGTGTTTGGATGAATTGCACAAGATCATAGAATCCAAAAGGGACTCCGATCAAACAGTTTTTCCAGTTTTTTATGGCATAGATCCAGCTGATGTACGACATCAGAAAAGAAAATTTGCTACGGCTTTTGAGACCCATGAGGTTGGATTTTCAGATGTTAAAGTGCAAAGATGGAGAGAAGCTTTAACAAAGATTGCTAATTTATCCGGTTGGGATACAAGAAATAAGTAAGTTATCATTAATTCCTAACCCATTTTTTGTTTTCTATTCCCACAATTTTGCTTGTTAGTATTATCTCTTCGTCTTTCGATCGAATTTTTTTATTAATATCTGTGTGTGATTTTTAATGATGACATGTCAAAGATATACTTGTTATAGGATGATATATATATATATATATATATATTCTCTTCATCCCACTTTCAAAAGTTAGCAGATGTTGAAAGCTGCCGGCCATAGTAGTTGTAAATATGAATATCTCTGTTGGTTTGATTATAATTACACTTATAGAGACTTGATGGTTTAGGGAAAAAATTAATGAAATAAATTGAAATAGGACAAGGATGAGGCGATCAGGCTTTTGACATTTTTCTTTGATTACAACAATTCTCGCTTGCTATAAAAACGGTTTTAGTGGTTATAGTTTTTGAGCATCTGAGTGATTTTCTTATAACATATCGTTTTACATGATAACTTTAATTGTTTATTATAGATGTTGCATGTTGTCATAGGTTAAGCCAGGGATGTCAACTTAATATATATACCTTAATCAATGGCTCTCAATTGCAGCTAAACGAAAAAAAAAATTCTTTCCCCTCTCCTCTATATCCCTCAATATGCTTAAGAGATTATGTATACAGTATACTTCATTTACTCATTTCTCTTAAATTTGATTGAAATTTCTATTTCACAGAGCATAATTACTTAATATAATTTGGTCTATGCAGATATGAGGCGGAAATTGTTGAAGACATCGTCGGATCTGTACACAAATTATGTTGTAAATTGCCATCCAATTTTGAACATTTAGTTGGAGACGTTCCATCAAAGAAGGTAAGTAGAATAATCTCCCTTTTAAAGATAGGATGGGTGATAAATGCTTCATAGAATATGGGGCATTGGCGGTATAGGCAAAACAACTCTTAGCTGAATTGTTTATAATGCACTCCAAAGAAAGTTTGATGCTTGCAGTTTTCTTGCCAATGTGTAAGGGAGGATTTTGATAAGAATGGCTTAGTTTACTTGCAAACGAAGCTTCTTTCTTGCCTTGACATAAAGGTATCAAAAATAAATGATGCCTATGATGGAGTAGAGGCAATAAGAAATTATTTATCCCATAAGGTTCTAATTGTGATGGATGATGTCAGCCATGGAAGCCAACTGGACAATTTGGCTAGAAATAAAGAGTGGTTTGGTGAAGGGAGCAAAATCATCATTACTACAAAAGACATACAATTGTTGACTCAATATGAACAGTTTGAAGAGTATGGTGTTCGAGAGTTGAATGAAGATGAATCCCTAAAGCTGTTATGCCAGAAAGAATTTAGAAAGGATGAGCTTGAGGAAGGTTCTATGGATTTCGAAACTAATATGCTTGTGGACTCCCTTTGGCTCTTGAAGTTTTGGGATCATTTCTTTGCAAGAGAAATCAATGTGAATGGAGAGATGCATTGTGCAAATTGAAGCAAAATTTACAAAAGGATATCTTTAGTAAAGTTTGTATCAGCTATGAAGGATTAGAAGATGAAGAGTGCAAAACTATATCTATCTACCTATCTATCTATTTATATATTCAAATTTTGTGAGTTAATTTTGTATCTTCAAATCTTAGTTATGAGATTTTTAACTTATTATTATTAATTAATTGATAATATTCTATCTGTCTATATTTATATTTAGATTATATTATACTCCTTCCGTCCCAAATTATAAGATATTTTTAAACAAAATATCACATATCAATAAACCTCATTAAATACACTTAATAACCTTATCTTTCCAAAATAAAAATATAAACTTTCAAAAATATCTATTATTTAATATATTGAAAAGAGAAGAGACGGACATTAATTATAGAGAGAGGAAGGGTAATATTGAAATTGGCACATTTTATGAAACCTTAATCTATTCAAAATATATATCTTATATTTTGGGACAAAAAAACTCTTTCAAAAGTATCCTATAATTTGGGATGGAGGTAGTATTATATTTATATTTAGGTTAGATTGCTGCAATTTTAATGGTTATTGCAATTCTAAGTATCTTATTTTCCAAGTTTATCTCACCGCTTAGCTTAATGCTGATAACTGCTTCTCACCCCTCTGGAATTCCCATTGCCAATTCCCAATTCCCAATTTTATTTAAATTTCTTTTAAAACTTCTATATATTTTAGATATTTTAAAACTATAAATTAATAATTAATAATTGATAATTAATTAATGGGGCCAAATTTTAATATTGCTTTATCTGACCATTTAGCTTATCATCAATCATTTATGAATTATGATAACTTTTTGCTTATCCCTCTAGGTTGTACTTCGTATATAAATTTCATTCTGTCCTATTATAGAATCTGCATTACCTCCTTTTTAAATTTCATACCAATACCAATACTAATATAAATATGTCTTCTGTCCAGCATGATCTTATAGGAGACATAAATGACGACAAAGAAACATGGTCTATCGTAGCAAGAGTCATCCGAAAGTGGCCGCTCAAACGTAAAGATCCACCATTTGCGGTGTGGGGCATTACAATGGTCCTAATGGATGAAAAGGTGATATCAGAAAATATTAATCTTTCCATTCTTGTACTTTATCTTGGCCTTGTGTCTTGTCATAACAAAAGGATATTTATCATCCTTTCAATGAATGTCATTTACATGTAGGGATGTAGAATAGAAGCTGGTGTGCAGAACAAATGCTGGCTTGAAAGATATATGGAAGAACCTCTAGAAGGAAAGATTTTTGTGTTTGAGAACTTTAACGTGTTGCCAAACAATAGTCAGTATAAAACGACAGTACATCCATGGAAACTTGGATTGCATGGCAGTACTTACTTCAAGGAAGAAGATGCATCAATTCCGGATTATATATATGATTTCATCTCCATTGAAGATATTCTTGATCACTCAAGAAAAGCTGAAGCTTTATTCGGTTCTCTCATTTCTTTACCAATAGATTACTTTACTTCTTATCATTTCATTCACTGTGTTTTAAAAATGTGGATCACTATTATGACTAACCTCATTTTCCTTTTACTTTTGCCTAGACGTTATTGGGTTACTGAGAAGTTTTGGCACTGTTAAGAAACAAAAATTACAATTTGATACTATACCAAGGCTAGACTTCACCATTGCTGATGAACAGTAATTTCGACATTCAACTCCCTCCATTTCCTAGACAATTCATTACAAATCAAATTTATTTCCCATCATAATTCAAGTACATGATTAATATTTTTAAACTTGTGCTTGCAGGGAAAAGTCTATCACTGTGCGTCTCTTTGGTCACTGTGCAACTGATACTTTTTACAGTAATCAGTTAGTGGAGGATCTGCATCATGTTGTGGTTATTCAGTTTGCAAGAATCAATATTGACAAAGGTTTTGTCAAGGGACTTTTGTTTTATTAGGTAGAACCTTACTCTCTATAGTCTATAGTTTATTAACATCATGTCAATTATAGTTGACCCACAAAAAATTCAGTTGTCCAACTTTGTCACTGCGACAAGGGTTTATTTTAATCCGGATATTCCAGAAGTCCATAACTTATTGAAGAGGTAATTTTAATTTTTATTTCTTTACTTTCTATATATGGCATGTTGGAATATAAACATCTTCTCACATGTTCTATATGTGTTGACTTGTCCTATTCAGGTTGCAAGAGTCATCTGAGATGCCTCAAAACTTCACACAGGACGTTAATCTTGAAAGCAAAGAATCTACCACATCATCAATGATCACATTTCCGAAAAGGTTTACGATTGACCAAATTTCAACAATAGATGAGGTTAGTTTTGAAGGTATTTAAGATATTTATTTACATATAGTTCAATGCAGCCTTTTTGATGCCTTATTAGTGCAGGCATGTGAAATTGTTATCCGAGCACGTATAAAAAAGTTGGAAACAGCTCTAGGTTGGTGCTATAAGGGATGTGTAGTTCATGAGTCAAAGCTAAAGGAGGAAAATGGCCAGTTATATTGTGAGAAGTGCAAAAAGGAAAAATCCCTATCCGAACTGAAGTAAATTATGTACTTTCATATTTATACATTCACTTTGTGATTTTACTCTTGTAGTATTTTAATATATTAATTGGAGGGTAAAAGTCATTACATTAAAATATTTGTCCTATCTAGATTTAAAGTCCACTACACTGTCGTAGACAACACTGGGACGGCATCTGTGGTATTCTTCAACAAATTGGCGGAACAACTTATTCAGTCAAAGGCCATCAAATTGAAGAAATTACTAGATAAGGTTTGCATAATTTAACATTCCATTTTCCCTTTTATTGTAATGAGATGGATCTAATTTTTTCCATTCATACCTTTATTACTAGGAACGAAGATCACACTCGTTCCCATCAAAGTTGAGTGATTGCATTGGCAAGGAGTTGCTAATGAAGGTCAATGTCACTGACTATAACATGAATCATCGATCAAGCAGCCTTACTGTCACTGAGTTCTCTGATGACAATTCTCTGTTGCGGCTATTTACTCTCTCAAACAAGGAGGTTATCTTTTCAAACATTTATTTCACTCCTTTTTATTCTTTAACATTACGTAGTATGAAGATAAGTGATGGTTTTTGAGATTTTAACTGATATTATCATCATCTCTCCAAGATACTTACACTAACTTTTTTTTCAGTTTCATTCACTTTCTATTACGTAGTATGAAGATAAGTGATGGTTTTTTGAGATTTGAACTGATCTTATCATCATCTCTCCAGGATACTTACACTAACTTTATGTTTAGTTTCATTCGCTTTCTTCAACATTACAGTTTGTAAATTTCATATACAATTATGGATATAGAAGTTTATTTAATGCCATGTTATCTTAACTTCTAAACTCTGTTTTCATTTGAGTTCTTTACATTTGTTAGTCTGACTTCTATCAAAGGTCCAAGAGTGGGGCAGTAATATCAACTCCAGACGATGATGACTTAACCATCTTCCAAATGATGACCCCTCAGCCTATGAGTGTGAAGAGAAAACAATATCACAAGGAGACAACTTCTGAGCAAGACATGGCTGATTTGTCTCATTGAGAGGTCTAAAATTTAGCACAACCAAACCATCGAAGAAAATTAAACAATCCAAACACTGAAATCAAGTTTTATGTTCACTGATGTTCTACCATGTCTTTTGTCCTATTTTAATTATGAAGTTCACCTTCTAGATCTTTTTTTTATTTGTGTATTCTCAACAACTCATCTTAGAGTTAACTAGATGCCTCAGTTTAGTGGACGTCCTTGTTTTTCCCTATGGATAACTTTCCTGGATTTTTTGTTGGGACTGATGGGTTTGCTTTTTGTGACACTCTTCATTGTATTCATTCAAAGCCATAGTACTGTTATGTTACTCTACAACCATATAAATTCTCTAGAGCTGGTAATCTGAATTAGCCAGCCGGCTATTGAGTTTGGCAGGGTGGGCTAGCATAACCCGCATCCTAGCGAGTTGTATTTCTGCCAACCCTCCAGTAAAACATATTTTTTATAATTTTTTCAATTTTGAAAATTACAAATTCACCTCTTCATTTTTTTTTGTAGTAAAAAAATCATATTTTTCATCTAAAAACTAATCATCCAAATAACAATAAAACTCCTTCTAAATCATTAAAAAACACAATACAAATTTACAATAGATTAATAAAATCCTAAATAAATTTATACTTAATCACAAACAAATATAGTAAAAGGTTTAAATTACAATCCAAAGTTGAAGATTCCTTCTAATCAATGATAATATTAGAAGCTTTATCAAAAGATGCAATAACATTAATTTGAATAGATGTCTCCAAAGCTTCATTTGCCACAAAAAAAAAATAAAACATAATTAAACATGAAAATATCATTAACATTTAGAAGTTTAGAAGGTAAATGTGAGAAAATATAACTATTATATTACCAAGCCATGGAAAACCAAGAATCCAATTGTGAGTACAAATAATAACTTCAACATTATTTAGAAAAAGGCTACTTTGATACTTTATGAGAACTCTTGATCCAATGCTTAAAGCAAATTCGTTAGCCATTGCCGTGATTTGATGCTAAAAATATCACATGCCATCCTTGAAAGAAGAAGAAATTGAGTTGAGTTATTCCTCCAATATTCCAACACATTTAATTTTTTAAAGTTAGGATAAAGTGTTTCTTCTAGATAACAGTCTAATTCAGACTTTTCTATGGATGCAATGTCTTGGTTCTTGCAAGTAAGATAATCTTGGAATATAAAATTAAATCATTAAGCATAACTAAAGTTGTCAATCCAAATAATATTAAAAGAAAACATTTAAATATGAAAATATTTAAAATTTAGAGTAAAAGCATCCATGTAATTATTTTCCTCTGATCCCACTAAATTAAGAGTAGATTTGTATGATGATGATGACAAGCATTCTAGAAGCCATATATGTAATCACAAAATCAACATTATCTAAATTTGCTTTTAACGATAACTCAATATTTGAAATTTGCATGAAATATATGTTAGAAGTTGGATATGATGACCCAAAAATTAACTTTGTTATTACTACAAATGGCTTCAAGAATTTATACATCTCCTCTGCTCTAAACCACTCTTCACTCATGAGTACTCTTCTCTTAATACATCTAAGTGTCTGATCACCATTTAATTGATTTGTTCACTTAGGTAATATGTGAAAGGACTAGCTTGAGCGTGGAACTTGAGTAAAATAGTACAAAAACTTAAAATTTGCATCATTACTAGATGGTTTTATTAATAAGATAGAAATGTACTTACCTAAGTTTTGTTAATAGCTAACTAGGGTTGAAGTTTAAAATTTAATTTTATAGATTGTAACAAGAGATTGAGCAATTATTTAAATTAAACACTTGTTCATGACTTGAGAGAGATTGTTCAAATATTTTTAGAACTCTAAGTTATCACTTATTTTTATTAAAAATATTTATGAGATAAGGTTATTTTAATGTTATGAAATGCAAGGAGATAAATAATTCTAAGTCTAAATTTGTACTTGAAATTTGAGAACACTTTGCTTTTCTTTGTTTTCCAATTTTAATATAATTTGCAAAATCAACTTTCCCAACTAATTGTGTTTTGCTTAACTTGATTAAATTTGCTAAGTCTTTTGCTTGATAACTTTTTTTAACAAAGCAAATTCAAATGTCAAATTGTTAATTCAATATTTTTATTTTTAAAATTAAAATAAGCATACTAAGTACTAACAACTTATACAAAAAAAAAAACTAGTCTATTTTGTATCAGTGCAATTTATTAATTCAATGAGTTGTTGATGCCTGAGATATAAAGAGAGAAAATTAATTTTGATCATATTTATAGAACATTTCACTATTTTTTGTGTTTATCTTTACAATTCACCTTTATTAAATGCTAGAAATTTTTTTAAAAATAATCCTTCTTGTCCTTATAAGGGAGCATTGATGGAAACTTACTAAACACTAAGACAAAGTTAATGAGCATATTTAATTTTTCTTAATTTCAATAAAAATATATTAAAAGTGACTTATAAATAGGATTATAAAATATACAATAGGAATCATTATTTTGTGAATGTTTTGTAAACATTTAAAATTACTCGACCATCATTTTTATATTAATTGCATTAACTCTAGTAAGACGACTGAAATAAAATATTTAAATTAAGAGATTAAATTGAAACAATAAATAAATTTAAAAAGAATTGAAGGTGCATTTTTTCAAAAAATTATTTTATTTTTTTATTTTTTATAAAAGAGATTGATTCTGATGTCTAGAAAGAAAAAAATTAAATATTAAATTTATATATTCATTGTATCTGTTAGATTGGGAGTCACAGTGAAAAATTAAAATTTAAATCTCAATAGCAATTGAGGACTGATCAAATTCATTTAAATCAAAGTGAATAGAAAAAATACCTTTTCTAGCGTCGAACTTCTTAAGTTTTTTTCAAGTGTTTGGACCTTAGAAGCTAACAATGTGGATTGACTCTATCAACCAATATCTACACAAGCAACTTTCCAACACAAATAGCATACGGATTAGCGCTTTTAATGTCTAACTGTCCGTCAATCAGACGCTCCTTTATTTTCTAAGATATTTTCGCAACTCTTAAAGTTTTGCCGTCAAGAGACTCTCACTTTGAAAACTCATCCCTTATCTATATTATATAGATTAGGGTTTTGTAGCCAATGAAATTAAATTTAATTTATCTCATAAATTAAATCTATGATATCATATCTAATTTAAATTTATCTCATAAATTTAAATTATAGAAGTGATATGATATCTTCTTATATCATGTTAGTTATTAAATTTAATTTATCATATAAATAAATTTAAAAATAACACAATAATATAATATAACATATATATATATATAAGATATAAATATTGTACACACTCACACACATATACTCCCTCCGTTTAAAAATGTAAGATATTTTTAACTGAATCTCACCCCTAATAAAGTAATTACCTACTTTCCAACTAACCCTATTTTTTCATATTTGTCCATATTAAACACCTTACAATAAATATAAAGTCATTATCAATAGGGGCACTTTTGAAAAAAAAGGTAATGATTACACATCCAAAGACTAAAAATACCTTATATTTTTAAATATACAATTTCTTAAAAAATACCTTATATTTTTGAATGGAGAGAGTATATATTATATTTTAAATTTTATATTTCATATACATATATATACACAAATATTTGTCAAATAAATATTTAAATACATACATACATACATACATACACATACAAATTCATTCACCCTAGATAAAGTATTACATTCATTGAATCTAACACACATTTCTTATTCAATAAACTTAGACATTATAAATTGAGTTAGGGTATTCTTGTATGCAACCTTATAGGTCCATATGGAGTTAGCAGTAAGCCAATAACGCTATTAGCCCATAAGTCATAAGTGGTCTCTAGCAAGGTATTGTGACTACCTAATACATATAAGGATCAATGATTCAACGTAATATATCATATAATCGTATCACATCCTTTTTGTCACACAATATTTCGGTCAAGTGTGAGATATGAAATTGTCATTCTCCTTCATTTGACCATTACTTTCTCGATCTCTGAGTGAACTAACTATAGCAATGGAGAAACATTTTCTATTGTAGTATGGCCATATATTTTCTCAGTCCTACTTATCAAGGAGCCCAATAATATCTCTCAATTAATGTGAGGAATAAATTCCATCTTAACCACTCATATTCCTCTGCATGAATATCACTAGACTCAATTATAGTCTTTATAATCACTCGATTAAAGGTGGCTTTTGACGAGGTCAAAGTTGAGTAGTTATCATGTAGAAATTCACTATGATCTCAGGTCAAAGGGCTTAGTGACATGGTTACATACAACTTTCTCATAGCAGATCGGTCCAGCACCATGCACCCTTTCAAGTGCCTACAACTTTGATTTACATCTTTATAATTAATCAAAGTCATACTAGTCTTATTTCATTTATAATCCCTTATAAATAATCGATTAGAGACATTTAAGACAATCACTATAGTTTGTTTAAAGATACAGTTATCATAGTGAACATACAATTAATATGATAAAAAAATTCACTAAATAACAATGTTCAAAATACAATGATTGACCCTAAGACATAATTTTCAATAGTATCTCTATCTAATAAAATAAAATATTATATGTTTAGTTTAAATTTTGCCAATAGCTAATCAATAACAACTTTCTCTTATTTATAACCCTAAGTAAAATGGCTTTTTCTTTAAAAAAAAATAGCAAGAATTGAGTTTAACAATAAGGGCTAATCTTTTATAACATGATAAATAAAAGTTTTAACCCCTATCACAGAATGTGCCCACATTTAGTGTGTGATTGTGTTTTCAATAGAAAGATACTTGTAAAACGTATAGGGCATGGCCCAAGTTCAAGTTTAATGAAATGGTGCATTTCATTCATTAATTATGCAATTGATAAATAAATGAATTATAGCCATTCATCATAAAAATTTGTGTTGTTCGATGTAACTGCCAAAGCACATGGTTCGAGAATCCATAGTTTTTGAAAGCCTGTTGTTTTGAACAAATGCCATTTAGTCCAAATACGTTGAGATGCAGACTCGAAAATCAATTTTCACATCAAATTTTATTTGGCTTAGTTTTTATGCAGAGAAACTATCTATGAAATTTGATGCAAATGAAGATGAAGACGATCGCCATATGATGCCACCACAGGGGTTTGTTGTTGAAAAGAAATCAGATCAATGAAATACTAAAAGGTATTAAAGCAAAACTTTATCATTAGTTGTTTGATGTGATTTATATTTGTTTGAAGGGTTAATATATATTTTTATCCTTAAAATATTCATAAAGAAGCACTCAATATCTTAAAATAATAATCAATTAGAGCAATTTTGCGTAATTAAAACATAGTATTTTTGCTCCTCTCATTAAATTTCATAATGTTGGCAATTAGCTTCGAATAAATTTAACCCAAAATACTACATGTCAATTCATGTGGATTCCAAATGCGACATGCACCTTGCATATGTGATCTTCTGAACATTTTCTGGTGTTGGTAATTGAACCAGGCTCTGCAGAAAAGTCAGGATCGGGTGAGAGAAAGATCGACTCGATTAGGGCTAAGAGCAGTGAAATGAAGTGAGTTACGACATTCCAGTGTCGACCAATGTGCAGAGAAGATATAATTGTTGGAAATATTTTGTTCCGGTCATATACGACTGGTTCCTCAATCATAATCTTTGCATCTTATGTATTACACTGCAATGTATTAATTTCTTGTTCATTCTGTTAGCTGTTACTTGTATTAATGAGATTCTAGTTTTCCTATTACAGCAATGAGACCGAAGCGAATAAAAATAATGAGAGTAGTGAAAAGCGTGGTTGAAGTAATAATCAATGTTCGAAAACTTCTGCGTACATGGGAGTTAGCAGGTTTTTGGTATTCCTTATTCTCTTGACTCATGTTCATATATTTTTCAAATTTTGTACAGCTTATAGCTACTGAAAGGAAGAGCTTGCCACAAAAGTAAAAATGGATATGAACAGTGTAGCAGGTCCAGATCAAAAATGTACTGCAACATATTTCCTTGAACTATGTATTGTTTAACATGTAAAGCTCATTGTAATTAGATGATATGAAAAGGGGGAAAAAAATAGTCTGCCAAAGTTCCCAGCCTTTTCTCTTCTTTGGGGCAAAATTTTCTCTACAATCTTCCTTCTAATTATGTTATTTTGTATTAGTGGTGTCTTTTTCATGAATATGGATAAGGTTTTCAATTGTAAAGAAGATGAGGACAGTTTAGTTAATTTGTAATACATGTATGACGTATACGTAATATTGGATCAATTTAAATTTTTCAATTATCTTTTTGTGGTCCTTATATATACAATCTCAATTGTTGGAAGATAACAATTCATCTAATATATAAAAAATCAAGAGGTCTCTAGTACATGATAATAATATAATAATAGTAGTTCACAACAAATATCAAGTTGTTAATAAACATACAAGAAGAAAAATCTTAAAAATAAGGTGTTAAGGGGTTGGAGATGGCTTGGCCACATTAACTAACGTGTGTTGCTTTGTAAATGAGGTTATTTTAGTTGTCTAATCTTAATTTTTCAACTGACCTTTTGAACAACAAAACACTTAGGATTCACGTCATCTCTAAGTTCAATACACAATCTTCAAGTTTAAAGAAAACTAGCTTTATTTATTAACAATAGTTGATCTATTACAAGGAGTTTGAGTTGTCTCACAAATTTTTCAAAATATGCAGTTTTGATAGCCCATTGTTTCAAAGTACAGTTTCAATGTCACAGTTCATTATTTTCCTTGTCTTGTATATAATTTCAGTTCAGCTAAAGGCTCAAAAATTCCTTCGACTATTTCAAGGGGTGGTGAAACAATCCCAAGGGCTTCGATAAGCTGACCATGGATTGTATGCGGTTCAGGAATGGCCCCCTTGGAAGGCTGCTTGTCACCTGCTAGTTCCTCATTCTTATTCATAACCTGCAAAAGTCATAGCAATCCAAAATTTATTTAAGGCTTATTTTATCTCAACAAAGACTTAATTTGCTTACATATAGACAAATGAAACAAAAAATCATCTTAGATATTTACCTAGCACCTCAACTAAGCTGATGAGAATCTAGAGGGGGCCTAGAGTTCTATTGGAACCAATGAAGCAGCAATGCAAATAAGAGTATCAGATACGCGTGATACACGAACAGTAATTTTCAAAAATTTTAGAATATGAATATGGCCATATAAATAATTAAATATTAAATATTTATATACATATATATATATATATATATATATATAATTAAATAATTAAGTAATATCAAGTGGCAAAAGATAATGATCAACTTAAATTAATAAATATGAAAAAATTGTAAACAATTTCCTGCATATTTTAAGATGACAAGAACTAATAAAAATTTAAAATAAACAAATAAAAATTATCTAAATTCAAGCATTGCCATTATTGTAATTAGAAAGACTATAAAAGGAAGCCGAACTTATTTTTAAATAGGATCATGAAAGAGGACAAAATTAAAGTCAATGGATGAAAAGGGGAAACCAAATTTTTTTTTTTTTAAACAGCTCTCCTATCAACGATCAGCTCACTTTGTCCACATAATAAGTTAATAATGAAGAACAGCAGCCAAACTCAAGAATATTACCTCTCAAGTCGCAACTGAGAAGGAGAGACAAAGCAACACATTGACTAAGGAAGACACCAAAACAGTGACTGAGGAGGCGGAAGAGAGAGCGACAGTGGCTCAGAGAGATAGAGCGACAGAGGAGAATATTACCTTGCTCGAGCTCGACGGAGTAGGAGGGAAGGACGGCGGTCTACAGCAGTGGAGGGTCACTGGGTCAGAGCAGAGCAACACAAGTCAGGCAAAGGACTTGGGAATGAAAGGGATCGGTTGACATTCGTGAAGTAGGGCATCTAGTGGAAAAAAAAACCCCAAAACCTCGACGCTTCACATCCTAACCGCGTCAACCCATGTCCGCTTGCTGCCGCCCATGTCCGCTCATTTTGCAAAAAAAAAAAAAAAAAAACCAAGAAAGAAAGAAAGAAAGAAGGGAGACGCTGCATCCGCGTACAAGACACGTGTCCATGTCAGATACATATCTGACATGGACACAGCGCTGATTTTGGCGTGCTTCAAAGAATGGAACCAAGGATGCAGAATAGTTAACTTGTGCAGAGACTCGTGAAAACTCCAAACTCTGATTACATAACAGCAATCAAGAAATCACCCTTTCATCATTATTTTAAATTTGATTTGGGAGATTCTGATGAGGGACTAGTATGTTACTTATGAGCATGTGTTTAGAAAAACCAACACTTGCACAGTATGGCTAGCCCTACATGATAAGGACATCGAGTTTAAGACGATTGACAACCTCCCTTACAATAGGACTACTCTGCAACATGTACTTTTTTTTTTTTTTTTGGAGTGGAAATGGGAATTCATTTCCACATAGAAGTCTACCTTTGAGCAGTAACCAAATGAAAGTTCTAACTCTGTTACAAGGGAGTCTCCACATGCGGCCCCATCTTGGGTCTTTCATCATTCCAACTCAGGGACCGAAATGCTTGCTAAGCAGATTTAACTGTGAAAGTTCCATTAGAGGTAAGATGCCAGAAGCAAGACGGGTTAGGGTTAGTAGGAGTCACCATTGTAGCACGAATTTGTTGTAACAGTGAGTTCGGCAACAGATGAGAAAAAAGATTCCAGTTCGATTGCCCATCCGGTGTAAGAAAGTCAGAAATAGACTTTTGCTGTTCAGACTCATCAATCTAAGCATAGGAGATTCTTCAAGGGTCCCAAGTCACATACACAAAAATCATTCCAAAATTTAAGCTGGTGACCATCTCCCGGTGTCCACCTAACATACAACATAGTATCTGACCATACACTTGCGAAGCTCTTCCAAAGGTTAGGACGAGTTAGTTAAAGTGAGGTTTGAAGGAGTTAAGCCATTGAGACCATATTTACCTCTTTGAACACGCACCCATAATGATCCAGTTCTGCAACAATTTTGTAAGCCAATTTGGAGAGGAAAGCCTTGTTTTGGCCGTCAAGATTGATAAGCCCACAGCCTCCAAGAGATAATGGTTGACAAAGGTCAGTCCACTTAAATGAGACTTACGCCCGTGTTCCTCTGAATTTTCCCAGATAAATTTCCTCACAATTTTCGCAATTGCCTTACAACTTGAGGATGGGAGTAAAGTACTTTGCATCTTGTAAAATGGAATTGTCATGAGCACCGATTTGGCCACAGTGATGCGGCCAGCCACGGAAATTGTTTTGCTTTTCCACCCAATGATTCCATTACATAACCTTTTTCCTTGTATAACTTGATGCCATACCCTTTTATTCCAAAACAAAGAAAGAAACAATAAATCATCTGCTACAGTCATTATGTTAGTTTATTACAACTAATGTGTACTACACATGTTAGTATAGAATGCATCTGTCATAAGCATATGTTTATTCCTTTTTACAAAAAAAAAATTAATAAAGAAAGAGACCGCATAAAGTTACAACAACAAGAAGCCTTGTCCCCCTAAGTCAACTACATAAATTGCACAATTGCATAAAGTAATCCTCAAAGAAAGAAAACATCATAGAAGAATTCCTAAATAACGACTAATCAGTAATTTGGAGTGAGAGCTCTCCAATTCCTCGGAGAAAAGTGAATCCCTTTAAACAACCACAGACAGAGAAGGAAAGAAAAGCCATAATAATCAATATGTTAATTTGAAGTAATATTCCCTAAACTGAGAGTTCACCAGCCAAATTTCCGTCTCCACTTAGCAGAGATATGATCTGAATATCAGCTGCTGATTTGGTATGCAGTAAGCTCAATTACTGAAGCAAATATAACAGCATTTCCTACTTTCCCTTAACTGCATGGGGGCAAAAAAAAAAAAAAAACGGTATGTGATTATGCTGCATTTGATCAGTCGAGAAACAGACTGCTCTCCAAATTTATAGCACCCAAATACCACCCAAAAAAAAAAAAAAAAGCCATGCGTCTGAAATCCCCGTTATTGGATTATGTCTTTTATACTTGTAGACAAAGACAGACACACACACAGAAGAAGTCATGACAAGTGCAATAAATAAACTAAATGGTTTTCTTAAAAATATTTACAGTGTTCTGGAAGAAGTTATATGCACTAATCACTCTCGAAATTCTTTCCAATGTTCTGTTTACTCAAAGCTGGTCTTTTTAACTAGGTTGAATGGAAGCATCATTAATCAATATACAGACATAAATCTATTTAAAAAAACAGCACAATGCATAAATTTCAGTAATTTAAATTAATCTCAAGCTCAATAATAGACAAAAAGAACTTAGGCATGCGGGAACATAAAAATTATGTACCTTTTTGGATTCAGCATAAAGCCCCAAGAGCAACATAAAATGGAACCTCGCAACAAAGGTTATCTCCAATTCCATGAAGAAAGCCCCATGTACATCCATCCTGGAGCCAAATCTCAACCGTAGCTTGCTTCAATTGCAATATTGCCACTCTCAAAAATACCCCATAGAAAATTTTCAATGGGAAAGAATAGCATTGTTAGCTGACTTAGTGAATCAACCATGCCTCTTAAGAGTCCATGCATGATCAACTGCAACCTGTGGACCATTCTAATTAAGTGATATTTGTATGATTTTTCGTCTCTTCAAGATCCCGTCCATTAGCTTGATATAGGCATATTTGTTTACAGTAACTTCTTTCTGCTCTGATTCATGAAATAATTCCATTGCCTCTATATACTTCCCTTGAGTGCACAAATCACTTATACGATCTGAGTACATTGTACTACAAGAATCACGCTCTCGGGAAGCATCAAGAATTTTTTCATCTTGCTCAGTCCCTTTAAGTTTTGACATGAAAGACTCTGCTTCCTCAGTTCTACCGGCATTAATAAGTGCACCAGCAATAACATTATAAGTATAATGATCAGGCCCCAATTTTTTTTCTTCCATTTCAGTCAAAAGATCAAATGCATCATGAAGCCTTCCCACTTTGCAAAGGGAAGATATCAATGTGTTATATGTAACTGTATCAACAAACTTCCCTTTAGAGATCCATGTGTCAAAAAGTTTAAGAGCCTTCTCAAGCATTCCATCCCTGCAAAGTCCACGAAGAAGAATGTTACATGTAAAGACATCTGGCCTGAAAGAATTCTCAACCATTTTGTTGTGGAATTGAAATGCTTTATCCACCATTTTCTCCCAACAGTAACCAAGAATAATTATGTTGTACGTAATTTCATCAGGAGACAAGCCCCTCTCCAGAAGCTCATTCAATTTCTCCACTGCTTGATCAGTTTTTCCATACATACAAAGACCTTTAATTAATGTGTTATAGGTGACAATGCTAGGGATGATACATTTCTTCTTCATCTCATCCCAGAGGTTCAGAGCCTTTTCTGTTTGTTCATCCTTAAAGTATCCCATGATTAGAGTTCCATAGGTTACTTCATCAAGAATATAACCTCGCTTCCTGGCCTTCATGGTTAACTCATATGCCTCTTCAAGCTTCTTCTCCACACACAAAGCATGTACTACCGTATTGAGTGTAACAGTATCAGTTTTCAATCTCTTTGATAACATTTCATTCATCATCCTAAACGCTTCTCTAAACTTTCCAGCTTTACAATAACCATGAATCATGGTATTATACGTAAAACAGTCTGGAGAAAATCCTCTTTCTACCATTTTCATGAAAGTCTGCTTTGCTTCATCGATCTTACCTTCCTTAAAGAACCACTTAACCATTATGTTGTGAGTCACTCCATTTGGCTGGACCCCTTTAACTCTCATTTCTTCAATTAACTTAAATGCTTCTAGACTTCCTCGCCACTCAAAACAACCATCAACCAACGTATTATAAGTAACAACATCAGGTATCAATTTCAACTTCTCCATCTCACCTCGAAGCCTAATAGCCTCATCAATCTTACCTTCAATACAAAAACCCCTGATCATGGTATTGTAAGTAAAAACATCTGGCAACATATTATTTTGTGTCATCAACTCAAGAACACGGGCAGCTTCCTTCACACATTTTGATCTACAAAATCCATGGATCAAAATGTTATATGTGTTTCTATTTGGCACTAAGCCAATATCTTGCATGTCTTGCAACATTTCTCTAACCTTATGTAGCTGACCTCTCATACAAAGTGCATTCAAAATGGTATTATAAGTGACATTATCAGGGGAACATCCGAATTTACTCATCAGATTCTTTAGCTGAACAGCTGACTTGAACTTATTATCCGCACAATATCCATATATCATTATGTTAAACATGTTGGTATTGGGTTTCACCCCAAGTTTAATAGCATCATTAAAGACTCCTCTAGACAAAGAAATAGAATCTGAAGATGGGTATCTTACCAGCGCATTGATAAGTGTATTGCAAGTTAGCAAATTAGGGCGATACCCAAGATGCTTCATTTTGTAGAAAATGTGAAGAGCAAGATGGGGATAGCCAGCTTGAACATAAGCTCCAATGGAGGTATCAAGCAAGGCTTTAGTGCTTCTGGGAAGGTTACGATTAGGGTGAAGAATGGAGGTGTGGAGTAAATGGTGGCGATCAGAGGTGATGAAGCAGACAAGAAGAGACTTGGCATCAGTGAACATGCTACGGCTGAAGAGATGAGGGAGAAGAGTGAGGAGAGGCTGTGGGCTCATGGAAACGGTAGCAGGTGCATGAGTCTGAAGCCACTTGAAGAAGGAGAAGAGTGTAACAGGGTAAGAAGCAAGAAGCTTGGAAGAGAGAAGAGAGAGAAGAAGCGTGTGATTGTGGAGCTGGGGAATGTAGGGTTTGAGGTGGTGGAATTGGATTTGACTGGTGGTGAGGATAGTAGTGATGGCTTGAAGGAGACCACGGTGTTCTGTTGAAAGAGTGCTCATATTTCTTCTCTTACACTACCATGTGTACAAATTGTCTTCTGCCATTTCCTCTGCTGTAATGAAAACTTTGCCTGTAAATTATTAGGGATGAACGGTAAGCACCCCAATCAATATGAAAAAGCAGCAGGGGAAAATAAATCTATCAATTTTACTAGAGTAAGAATCTCACTCTAATAAAACTAATAGTCAAGGGTAGGAGAATCTCCCAGGGATAAAAGGATATTTTATTTCTCAATGTCACTAGCTATAATGAGAGCTAGCCTATTTATAATGATGAAACTACATCTGAATAATAAATAAATAATCAGAAAAATATCCCAAAATATCTGGGAAGACTCAACTGACTTGAAGGTGGGTGAACCACTTAACAACAATTGGACCACTTATTTATCTAACTAACACTGAGAAAATGCAACAAATAATCAGGAATTAACTCAAGTCTGCATAACTGACTCTAACTTCCTCCTCTTTCTTCTCTGATAAGTCAAAAGTGGAGGAGCACGCTGACTCAGATCAATGAAACAATCAAGTCTAAATGAATGTATCAAAATGATTATCATTCAACATAACTCAAACTCCTACATCTTAATTTGTGCACCATTTCATTTCTAACAGTTGCAAGTCAAACTCAAATTGTTCAGAGTTCAGCACATAATTACCACTAAGCAAGCATTAACTGTAGTCAGAACAAGCAAAGATATTTTCCAACAATTTGTCAAGGGTACAGGCAGCATCAATGTGTCATGCTGACGCTACTCAAATAACAGTCCTATTCTTATTTTCATATATCAAGGCTAATGTATTGAATAATTTTATAATGCGGCTAAGTGGTTACAATAGGAATTATTTCTCACAAGTTCAGCCCAAAAGATTTAATTAATTAATATTCTCATAATTAAGCACTAATAACTTTTGAGACTATATTAAAAAATATTGGACAGAAATCATCAAAAACTTAAAAAGTGCAATATAGCTAACATTCTTTTCGAGAAAAGAGATGGGTGTTTATTTTGTAAATTATATGGAGGAGGCACACATGTTAGAGAATTGGTGCATTATAGAACTTGGAAATCGTCTATCACATTATAGAATTTAAATACTGTATATCACCTTAATCACATCACTCAGCAGCTTCGTACATTGGACAGCAACATTCAACAACTATTGAATCACATCTTAAACAATAAAGCCACTAAAAAGCGGTAGACATGAAGATTAAGCTTGACATCATCAGTTTTCACGTATAGACCTCTATGAAACTGCATTTTTTAAAACAATATATATAATTCTTTTTATTATTTGAGCAATAACCGTTTATTGTACAAGAAATATTGCACACCTCCTCTTTTGTGTATGTGTTGCATGTGAGGAAGCAGAAATTCCTCAATTCATTGGAGACAAATTTCTTCGTATTTCCTTCAATCACAGAAAGTAGAAGGCAAATAAAAACATGTTTCCAAGCTTGGTGGAACTTTCTGTTTGCCTTCCTTCAATCCCAGCGTCAGGTTGTCTGCGATCAGACCACCTTCAATCACGCAAACCCTGGGCCCAACGCCTTTAGACCAAATCAACACCAAACCAGCCAAAATCTATAGAAAAAAGACGGATTCACTGCCACGATCAGCAAGCATGTTAGTCCAAAAGGAATAAAGAAGAAGAAAATGCAGAAGCCTGGAGCCAGAATCGAAGATCAATTAGATAGGCTTTGAGCTACCTTGCAATCTAAGGACAAAGAATCAAAGACCAGCAACTCCACACACCAGCGACGCTGTCGGCCTTCGCCGTTTACCCTGTTCGCCAGAACGAGTATCCTTTGAGCGTTCTGATTCCCTACACTGCGTCTCCCATTCTCTAAGCCTCCACTGCTGGGACACGACGTCGTTTGGGGAAATAAATTTACCTAAACACAGCATAGTCTGACAACGAGATTTCAATTGGGAAGCATCAATGTCCAACTCCAAACATATTTACCTCCCCACATCATTCACACGTTCAAATCAATTGAGAATAAGAGATTGAAGAAGCACGTGAGCAATAGCAATAATCAAACGCTTCCTCTCTTGATCGAGTCAGCATTTGCGCCACCGTCGCACCCACTGGTTTCAAGCAGTTTAAGAAATTCCAGCAATTAAGATTGGGATCGAAGAAGCTTCTCCGCGTGCCACAAACAAATCAACTTCGATTCAAACCCAAGCCGTTCAAGTTCACGCCACTGCCTAACTCGCGCCGCCTTCACCCGCTGTCGTCGAACCCACAATGTCGTCGCACGCCTCTCACTGTATGCCTTTGCACGCCGCCTTCACCAACAATGGATCAAAGAAAGGGGAACGAGGGACGGAGGGAGGTTAATTTTGGGACTGGTCAGGATTGAAGAACGAAATTCAATGGATCAGATTTTCCTACATCAGTAAGACGGTGCGTTTCACTCTAGTTTATGTTTTAGAAGATCTATCTAAGTTGTATAAATTCTTTAATCATTAATTTTGGAAACGGTAGGTGTGGCCTGTATGAGCCTGACCTTATGTATCTAGATTTTGATGCCATGTAAAATTGTCTTATTTTTTAAATTTAGCTTTTATTTTAAAGGTTAAGAGCAAACCCATAAGCCCATTTAAAAAAAACAAAAAAAAACATTACAAATAAAAATACAGACTTAATATCCACAATGGAAAATTCCTAATATATTCACATATGATTAGGAAATAGTAATACAACCTAAATTCAACTTTTAACACTAACTCTGGGAATCAACTGATAGAACAATACTATGACAAACAAGCAAATGTAGCAGTATGCAACACAAAAATTAAAAATTGAGATCTAAAATTTATTTAAACTGGCCAAGAAAAAATTGTTAAATAATAAAACCCTTAATAACTCAGCAAAAACCCTAATATCATCAACCTCACATGCATAACAAGAAAATTAAGAAGAGTGAGGAGAGCAACCAATCACCCTTGCCTGAAGTTGAAATCGAGAATCAAAAGATAGGAGTGATTGTGCAAAGAGCATCGTGACTAGAAGGTGAATTTAAGATTGAGCTAGCAAAGGAGCAACTTGTCGGTGTGACCTATCATTAGCAAGATCAAGATTGAGAGGAGTGAAAAGGATAGCTAGTGATTAATATCAAAAGGCTAGAGAACCTCAACACCGTGAGTTTGTGACTATGTGAAGGAGAGCATTATGATTGAGCACCTATGGCATCACCTGAAACCAAGAATCAAAAATCACAAGATGAAAGATGAGAGCATCATGAGTCCTCTATTGAGATCTAGAGCCAAGAGGGAGGAGAAGCTGAGATTGTGAGGAAAGGCTGAGAGGAAGAGCAGATTGAGAGATTGTGTGAGGGGAGCACTGTGATCGAGCACCCATGGCATCACCCGAAGCCAAGAATCAAAGATCACAAGACAACAGGCAAGAACACTGTGAGTCCTCTATTGAGATTGAGAGATCAAGAGTTACAAGGGAGAAAAAGTTGAGATTGTGAGGAAAGGTTAAGAGAGAGAGCAGATCTACAAGTCGAAGAGTGTGTGGCATAAGTATGCTTAGGGTTTTCTTTCAGATGCCAAGCCAAATGGCATATTTGAAATGGGAAAGGAACAAAAAAAGAGAATTAGGCTTAAAGGGTCGCCTAAACCTGAGCCCAAGCCCTTTTTAGAAGGTTTGGCCTTGAAACCTAGGTCCCTAAAAAATCACCAATGTTTTAAACTTGAACCCTTAAAATACGGGTTTAAATAAGTGGCCCTTTAGGCTCAACCATTATTTTCAAGTCTAAATATATCAATATAAAATTTATAAGAAATCATATTATTTACTTATTCAATGTCATGTGTATCACTAAGCCACTAAGGCCAACGCCTTAAGCCTAAAAATGTTCAATTGTATCTTATATAACTAGTCATTATTTTTTCCATTAAGTATTATTGTTAAATATATATTTTCATTAATAATTTGTTACTTGCTTATATCTTATATAATGCATAATTATTAAACAGTAATGTTAATTATATCTCTTCATTAAAAAATTATGGCTCCACATTTCGGTGCAATTATCACTCCTATTTCTAATATTAGTTAACCATTTTGTAACACTCGCATACTCTGTCACAATCACTTTGTTATTTTATCTCTTCTTCTCCCTTAATCAAATCATTTCTTGCATTGCCATCATTTTTTATTAAAAAAAATATAGCTCTTGTTCAGTTATTTCCACAGGCATTGTGGCTTGATTGATAACTTAATTTGCCATTTGTCATTACAAAGCTCACAAATCCTTTTATTTGTTCATGAGAGTTTTGCACTTCTATTAAAAAAATAAAGAAAACCAATTATAGATAGCTGGATATATCAAGTGTGTTTGTTACTCATTTACTCTTTATTTTCCTTTTTATTTGAAATTGTGATTGTTTTAATTTTTTGTAAGATTTGAAGTCATAAAATAACAACACATTAGATCTCTTAAATTGTGATTGTTTTAATTTTTTATAAGATTTGAAGTCATAAAATAATAACACATTAGATCTCTTAAATAATTTTGCCTTAATTCTAAAATTCTTTTACACGGCCTTAATCTTATTTTGGACTCCATGTGCTATGCACCTAATTAATAAGATCCTTATATTAACAAGAAGATTCAAGCTTGCATTCTTGTATCAAAAAGGAGATAGATTCACAACCATAATCAGCAGACAACCTAACACTAAAATTAAACTCATTTTGCATACTTTTAAAAGGTTCGTGTGTGTGTGCGCGCGCGCGCGCATGTGTGTGTGTGTTTTTGCACACGCACACATATGGATGTATATTATATATACACACACACATACATAATAACCTCCTGAATTATCTAGATACTTAACATGCTATCATGATGATAAAAGATTTAAATATATCATTAAGGATTATCATGATAAAAAGAATTAAACTCATTTTAAGAATATTAACCATAGTACAAAAAAGAATTAAACTAAATTATTGGAAAACTATGTGGTTAAAAGGTTATAACTATTTAATTTATGATTTATTAAAATGAATAAGGTTAAATTAATAAATTGAGAAACTAAGGCTGTGTTTAGTTTGAGAAGAGGGAAAAAGAAGGGACAGAAGGGAGGGGGGAGGGGGAAGGGAGTCTCCCCAATTTAGGGAGGAGGCTTTGGGGGGAAAGGGAGGGGAAATTTTAGGAAATTTTTCCTCCCCTCTACCTTATCAAACAAGGGGAGGACCCTTCCCCTTCCTTTAGTAAGGTGTAGGGGAGGGGAAATTTCTTAAAATTTTTCCTCCCCTCCCCCCAACCAAATAGGCCCTAATTGAGTTTATCAAGTTTTTGAGTTACTAATATATCTAATGGATCATTTGGACAGCTTCTAGATTAAGCTAAGGTGGTTATTGGGTAAATTGGGCTCCAAGAAAATGCTCAAATTGTGTTTGGACCTAATTGAATCATCTGCCATGGTAGGGGGACAAATTCATTAAATTTGTCACAAGTAAGAAAAAAAACAAAGAAGAAGTGAGAATGCAATGGAGGAGAAGAGTTGTCTACAAGGGCTTGCTTTCTGCACCATCTTGGGAGCATTTTGAGCTTGATTCAAGTTGGATAAGCTTCTACATTGTTCGGATAGGTTGACACCCAATAGGAAGGGTGAATTGGGTTTAAAAACTTTTGAAAACTAGAAAGAGTGAAGACTAAAGTGTGAAGGAAGAAGATGAGACACATAAGGTTTACACTAGTTTAGCCTCAAACTTAGCCTACATCCAATCCTCAAGATCACATTTGAGATTTTTAACAAGGTTCATAAGTTTCAATGAGTGCTTACCACCACAGTACAACTCTCAAGACTTAATTTGTCTTGTCTAGCAAGTTGTTACAAATAATTAAAAAATCTCTTTTCAAAATTTTTGAGAAAATGAAATAGCTTTTGCAGAAAACTCTCTTAAAGAGTAGATGAAATTATAATTAAAAACTTATAAACTTATGAGAGTTTTTTACAATTCTTTTCAAGAATAATAAATGAATGCAAGATGCAAAAGCACAATTTAAAGGCTTTTCAAATGCTCAAATAATGATTAGTTTGCTTAAGGGTTATTCATACTTATTCTGGCTCAAAATGAATCACATATATAGTTTTAATAGTTGATAGATCGTTGGAACAATGATTCTATTCATTGATGCAATTTCTTGTGAGTGATTAGTAGAATCATGTGTGAAATTGCACTTGGATTATTCCAAAAATATATATGTGATAAATCACGCGTGAACCTCTTGACCTCTCACACGTGGTTTTGTACTTCTGAATAAACATTCAATTTTGTGTGCTAAAACTCATGTGGTATTACTTTGCTCTTATGTGTGGTTTTACAATTGTGCATATGTATTCAGTTCTATGTGCTAAAACTTGCATGTTAACTCTTTGCTCTCATGTGTGATTTTTACACTTGTAAATATGCATTCAATTTTGTGTGTTAAAACTTACGTGGTACTACTTTGTTCTCATGCATGGTTCTGCACTTGTGAATATGCATTCAATTCTGTGTGCTAAAACTCACATTGTAACTCTTTGCTCTTACTCATGGTTTTGTACTTGTAAATATGCATTCAGTTCTGTGTGCCAAAATTTGCATGGTAACTTTTTGCTCTCACGTATGGTTTTGTACTTGTAAATATACATTAAGTTTTGTGTACTAAAACTCACATGATACCTCTTTGCTCTCTTATGTGGTTTTGCACTTATGAATATACTCACATATTAGAGTGCTAACTCTTATAAGTAAACCATTTGCTCTTATGTGTGGTTTTGTATATAAGAAACTATCATTAGTTCTGTGTGGCAAATCATGTATGGAACTTCTTCTCTCTCTCACATGAAATGGTTGGCAGAAAGCAAAGCTAATTTTTGTGGTTAAAACTTGTGTGAAACCAAAAAGCTATCACACGTGAAATAGCAAGCAATAATGCACAAACTTGTCTGGCTGCATTTTTACTCGTGGAACTGCATGTGACTTATGCAAGATTTTGCATAATTAAGAGATATAAATTTATGAATCAATAATTATACAAGTGAGCAATTATAACTTAGCTTGAGGTGACTTAAGACTCAACAAAGTAAAATGTGATTGTGCAATAAGTGACAAATCATGCACGACTACCATCAAACTCACACATGAAACAACACTTTGACATAATATAATGAAGCATGGTTGCTAAAACTTGCATGGACAATAATGACTCTCACGCGTGATTTTGCATGTAGTAACAAAACTTAAGGCATCAAATAACACAAGTGATAAATCATGTGTGAATTACTTTCTAACTCTTGCAT